GCAGCGTGCCCGGTACATCGTTGGGCCGAAGCACACGATCCACAGCGTTGTTGGCTCGGAACTTGGACACTCGCGCCTTGGCCTGTCGCAACGCCTGCACCACCTCCGAGCGTTCACGGCTGTTGAAGACGAAGTTCATGGCGCCGTTACGGCACGAGAGGAAGAAGGTGTTGTCGTCGCCTCGGATCGAGATGGAGCGCACGTCGTCGATGTCAGAGAGATGGAAGACGTCGTTGAGATGGACAGAGACGTTGGGCAACCACTCCTGCTGCTTGAGGCCGGTGATCTGCAGGTATTCGCCACCGATGCTGAACTTGACGGGTGTCAAGGAGCGGTAGTACCACACCATTGTGATCTGGTCAAAGTGCATCTCGGCGGTCGAACCTAGGATGGCGAGCGTAAGCTTGTCCAACGCGAGATTGCGCGGTTCGACGTACATCTCGATGTCTGCGAGCGTCGTGCAGGAGACCACTTTCTGCAGCGACGTCATGCGGTCGGCGATCTCGTGTTTGATCGACGAGTCACCGTACGAGGACGAAGACCAGAATTGCAGCTCGACGCGGGCAGTGGTGTTGGGATTGAGGAAGAAGACGTTGAACACGTTTGCCAAGATCGAGGCGGGCACCAACGAGCTAAAGTAGAGGAGCCACTGGCTGGGCGTCACGTTGGAAGGATGGCAGGCGGTCGTGTTGAACACCAGGTCGAACTGTCGATAGGCGAAAGTCTCGAGCGTCTGAAGGATGTAGAGGATGAGGCCCTCAAAGTCGATCGTGTCCGCCTTCTGATTGTGCATGGCATAGTAGAGCACTGGACGACCGGCTCGCGACGACGGACCTTCATAGAAGATGGTCCGGTAGCTGTCCTCGTCGACGGTGCGACCGGCGTGCCGACGAAGGAAGTCCTGATAGTTGCTCGCACCGAAAGCCGGTTCGGGAAGTTCGTCTGCCTTGGGCTCTCCTGCGGTGGCCAAAGCGTCGCACAAGTCGTCGTAGACGTTTTTGGCCTCATGGCTGCGTCGCCACTGAGCGTCACCGCTAAGGAAACTGTCCCGATCAGCACCCGCTCCCGACGTCGACAGCTCGTTCGCCTTCGAGGTTCGGTCCGAGAGGCACTTGCCGAGCTTTTCAACGTGCTCGAAGAGGAACTTGTGCAGCATCCTCTGATCGCGCTCGTCGATGCCGTACACGGTCGGATGAATGCCGAAACCCAGCGGTTGATCCGCAGCGTAGAGGCGATCGGGGTCGGTGCGAGCGTCCGAGACCTGATCGAGGAACGCCGTCACCTTCCAAACGTTGCTCTTCAAAAAGTCGTTGAGACCGGTCATGAAGGGTTCCTTGTGGCTCGAGAAGAGATTGTTGCTGGCGAGGGTGATGAGGATTTTGCTGATCAACACGAGGCCGCGACGGAGGTCCTTGCTAGGTCCGGTGAGATTGATGTCTATCATGTGGGGCGATACGACGGCAGGACTGATGAATCGCAGGAACATGAGACCTCCGACACCCTGATAGCGCGAGGCAGGGAAGCGCGTGTCCAAGACGTTGCGGATGTGGCGGCAAAGCTCGCGCAGCACGGCAGGCACGCGATGCGCCGAGGAGCAAATGGCGTCGATAAAGGCCTGTGCGATCTCCTCGAGCGCCGTCTGGTTCTTGAGAGCGCTTCCTCCAGGCTCGACTCGCGAAGGATCCATCTCGACCGAGAATCCGGCCGGCTTGCGCGCAAACTCGGTGATGAGCGGCGCCATGATGGAGCGGAGGTAGTCGTAGCCATGCGTGCGGGCAAAAGTGGAGAGCAGGGTGGTGCAGAAGGAGTTGCTGCGGAACACCATCTCCTCGGTCGCCGTGCGCTGGATCTCCTCCTCGACGGCGGCTTTGAGGAATCGGATGAGGCCGCCCTTGGCATCGAAGATGCTGAGTAGCAGGACGCTCATCGGCTCCACATCGCGACCAGGACACACCTGGCAGACGGAAAGTGCCAGCTGCAGGTCCTCCTGACAGACGAGGTCGATCAGGCGGTTGCACTTGCGCGCTCCACTGAGACGCTCGAGCTCGTCAAAGGCGGTGCCCTGATTGAGCACGTTGGTCATGATCTGCATAAAGGCGGTGCGGATGCGCGAATCTTCGTGATACGCCAAGGGCAACGAGCTGTGCAGGCCGCTGTCGATGTTCGAAGCCAAGAGGTTGGAGAGCGCCAGGATCGCCGACTCGCGCAACGGCTCGAAGTCGCGGCCGGATTCCACCTTGCCACTTTTGGCGCCGGCGAGCGAGCGGGCATCGTTGACAGCGCGGGCACGCGCGACGGCCGCCGTTTCCGAGTGTCGGGTGCGGTTGAGGATCTTGATAAAGTAGGCAAAGTACATGGCGAAGTGGCGGGTCTTGGCGCCCTCCACCTTGTCATCCAGCAGGAGCGCATCGTCGGCAAGCAGCAGCGGCAGCTTGTCGAGCAGGATCGAGATGCACTTGAGGCAGGCCACGTCCAGATCGCGGTGGAGGCGATCGAGCGCGTCGAGCGAGTTGGAGTGGAAGCCGTCCTCGGATCCGTCCGAGGTCCAGGTGGTCAAGGCCTGGAAGAGGCGGTTGCGAACACGCAGCTCGTTTGAGAACGAGAAGGCGGCCTTCTTGCGCATCAGGGCCTCGCACATCTGACACATGGCAGTCTTGATGCGCAAGGCCTGCTCGTCACGCCCGAGCGAGTTGGCATACTCGACAAAGAGCACCATGAGCGAGCCGATATCGACCTTGGACGTGGCGACCACGGCCTTGTCCTCGTCGAGGCGGTGAAGCACCATGGTGGCAACGCCAATGCTCTGCTCGACAAAGACGGTGTACATCTCGCTGGTCTTGGGATAGCCCGTGTCCTTGTCAAAGAAGTCGCTAAGGACTGCATGGATCTGTCGGAAGAGGATGCCGATCAGACGGGGGCCCAGATCGACGCCGAGCGTCTCCTTGGCCTTTTCGCGCACCCAGAGAGAGTCGGAGACGAGCAGATCGACCATCTCCTGGACGAAATGTTCGATCAGCGTGGCTGGCTGCTCGTTGAGGTCGGAAAACTGAGGCAGGACCTGTGCGACGCTCGGCTCGACCTCCGAGGTGATGCGCGCGGAAGCGGCAAAGCAGGCGCCGCCAAAGGCGCAGAGGAAGCCGGCGTAGTTGTGCCACTGGGCGGCCTTGTCCTGTGCGGTTGAGGAATCTTCGACGATGGGCCTGGCCACGAGCTGAGTGAGGCTGGCCCATCGCGAGTAGGCTTCCTTCCAGGCGAGCCATCCTGCCACCGAAGGCTCCTCGATGTCGCGGAGCAAGGCGCGGATGCGCTTCTGCTGAGCGATGCGACCGGTGTGCAGGAAGTTGGGATCGGCGAGATCGGTGTAGAGACGGAGCCACTCGTCGGGAAGCTGATCGTAGTATTTGGTGACGCCGACGGTGAGCTGTGCGTGGCCGTAGGCGCACTGCATGGCGCGCGAGCAGACCTCGGTATCGCTGGAGCACATGAGGAGGAGGGTGACGAGCTGGACCCAGAGGTATTCGAGCTTGCGCTCCTGGGCGGGCGGATAGAAGGGAGCTGCGGCGGTGGTCTCCCAGTCGCGCTCCTGGCTGATGAAGAAGCCTCTACGTTGCTGTGAGCGACGGAGGAGTTCGAGGTAGTGGCGCTGCATCTCGGACGACTCGGAGGCCATGAGCTGTTCGGTGAGGATGGTGAAGAAGAAGGGGAGGAGCGAGACGCCGACGTGGCGCTGGTGCTCGCAAAACTCGGCGAGCGAGTCGTCGAACATGCCCGAGTGGTAGACGCGCGAGAGAAGGGCGGCGGAGATTTTGCGATAGCAAGCGAACTCGGGTGGGGTGGCGAAGACGGAGCAGATGGAGACGGTGAAGGAGAGGAGGCTGTCGATGGAGACGGCGTTGCGCAGCACCTTTTCGCGGTCGAAGGGCTTCGTTCCGCCCGAGAGCGACGTCAAGGCTTTTGGACGGTCGAGGTCGATGGCGTGTGCGAGCGCGGCCACGTCCAAAGTCCAGAGCTGCACGATGGACTGGAACAAGTCGAGGCGAGCCAATTCGTCGAGGCTGGCGGCAGCAGCGGCGGCGGAGCCCGAGAGGGAGGCCGAGCGAAAGAGGGCCGAGGCAGCTGCCCGCGAGGCTGCGCGCTTGCGAGCGGCGTCGCGATTGTCGAAGCGCGGGAGGCGGTAGGTCATTTCGCGGAAGAAGGCGCGGAGCGGACGCGAGATGTGCGGGTAGAGGATGCTGACGTCGGGCGCCCACGGAAGGCGATGTCGCTCGCTGGCGAGGAGCACTGCGGCCTTGACGAGCGCGATCTTGAAGTGGAGCGGATTGGACTCGGACATGCAGATGGGGACGAGCTCGCGGGTGGTGCGTTGGGGATCGATGCGGAAGAGGGCGGCGAAGAAGTCGACCATGAGCATGAGTTCGATGGGCTTGTTGCCGCTGGCGAGCGGCCTCTTTGGATCGAAGAGGCGCTCCTTGAGGTCGACTTCGAGGTCTTGTACGATGAGGCGAAGGCCGTTGTCGGAGCGCGGCACGGTGGCGGCGGCCTTGAAGAGGTCTACGCAGCAGAGCGCGGCGACGTCGATGAGGGCGGTGTTGCGAGGCGACTTGCGAAGGCCGTCGATGAAGGAGAGCTTCTTTGCGAGGCTGCCGCTCGCCTTTCTGTTCTCGCCGACGGCGGCCTTGCCGACGACGTCTGGGCAGAGGATGAGGAGCGAGGTGAGGAGGGGCCAAAAGGCGATCTTGCGCTTGGTGGTGTCGGCGAGCGCATAGACCTGGTCGAAGACGACGTCTGGGCTGCCCTCGAAGCGACGGTTGGAGGTGACGAGGGCGGCGAACTCGGCGGGATGGTACTGGATCCACGACCAGATTGCACGGCGGAGGACGAGGGCGACGGTGTACTGTGCGCTGCGCTTGAGCTGGGGGAAGGAGGTGCTGACCTCCTGCAGGATGCTTGCGAGACGTGCGCGCTGGAAGTTGGAGCACTCGAGGAGGCGAAGCTCTGCGGTGCTGGGCGAGTCCTCGATGGTGGAGCTGAGGTAGTAGAGGCGATTGCGGAGACGTGCATTGACGACGACCCAGTTGCTGGAGCTGAGGTAAAAGACGACCTGGCTGGCGAGGCGGTAGATGCGGGTCTGGAGGTGATGGGGCACGTCGAAGCCCTCTACGTCCGGACTGAATGCGGTGTTGGTCCAGGAGGAGGAGTTGAACCTGGCGCCCTTTGTGAGTTGTAGTAGATCCGACTGGGCGTCGTCAGTGGTGGTGTTGGTGGGCATGGAGGATGAGGATGGTTGGGAGTCGGAGGCGCCGACGCCCATGGCGAGATCGGCCCTGTCGATGGAGGGAGGTTGGTCGAAGGGCGAGCGTGTGGGAGGAAAGTAGGGATAGAGGACGTAGAGGCTGGTGGAAGCGGCGAGGCAGAGGGCGGTGGGCATGAAGACCTCTGGGAGCTTTTCGGCTGCGGCGGCGGCGGTGGGGCTGGCTGCGTCTTCGCGTTGCTCGGAGTCGTCGCGGGTGAGGCGCGAGGCGGAGTGGTGGGCGAAGCTCTTTGTGGTGGAGAAGCCGGAAGCGGGATCGCGCAGGCTGAGGTCGCGGAGGGAGCGTTCCGAGGGAGGTGGACGGCCGGAGAGGGAGTGGGAGTGGGAGGAGGCCGAGTCGGATTTGGAGGAGGAGCGGGCATCGAGGCCGCTGTCGTGGATGGAGGAGAAGGTGGCGTCGTCCCTGGCGACGTTCTGCTTGATGAGGAGGGTCATGACGCTGAGGACGTGCTTTGCCTGGGTGTCGTCCATGGCGGGTGGATCGGACCAGCTGTGGGCCGAGCTGTCGGTGGAAGGGGTGGCGGCGAGCGGATCGAGGCCGGGGCGAGGGCTGTTTGCGTGGCCGGCGGCGATGCGCCACTGGTGGTTGAGGCAGGATACGAGGACCTTGAGGATGAAGAGCTGGGAGTGGAGCATGCCGATGCCGGCCTGTTGTTCGAGGCGCTGCTGGGAGGACTGCTTTACGAGGAGTTCGATCGCGCCGAGGAGCTCCTTGACGACGAGGCCGAGCTGGAAGCAGCTGAGGTTGATGAGGTTTGCGACGCAAGACCGAACGAGGTCGTCCTCTTCGACGAGCTGGAGGCGCCATCCGGAGTTGCAGGGGAGCTTGTTGACGAGCCTCTGTACGATACTAGCGATGAGGATGTGGCTGGAAGCGTTGACTGCGAGTGGCGCTGCATTAGCCGGGTTGAGGGGCTGGAGGAGCGGGTCGGAGGGGTCGGAGAAGAGGCCGTGGGAGGCGTTGTGGAGGTTGCTGTTGGAAAAGGTAGGCGTGAGGGTGCTGTCGGTGGAGTCGTGACGGAAGCCCGAGGAGCTGCCGATGGAGTGGTTGGAAGCGTGGTGGTGTGGATGCTGTTGATGTTGATGCTGTTGTTGCTGCGGATGCTGGTGCTGATGCTGGTGCTGATGCGGATGCGTATGCGGATGCTGGTACTGGAATGAATGCTGCGAGGTTTGAGAGGGGCGACTGACGTGATAGTGGTGGTGGGAGGGCGACGAGGAGGTGGGCGTGTCGCCATTGAGCATACCGATGCCAGGGCGACGAAGGTCGGGCGAATGGACGGAGGAGGTGGCCGCGTGGGCTTCGAGCGTCGATGCCGAGGCGGACGCGGACGCGGACGCCGAGGTGGGGGGCAGCGGCGAGGCCGAAGAGGAAGCCGACGCGTATGGATCCATTGTGGCAGAGGATGGAGGATTGTGTGTCGAAAGCTAACGCAGCGTATTCGTTTGTGGAACGAGAGCGAGTGGCAGGAGCGGGTCGTGAAAGCTAGCGTGGATGCTAGCGTGAATGCTAGCGTGAATGCTAGGGAGCGTTTGCGGCAATCGAACCCAGGTGCACGCCAACGAGACGATGCGAGCGAGCCCTCTCGATACGCTGGAGATGGATGATGTGGAGACGAGGAGACGAGGAGACGGAGCGACGAGGTGACGAGGAGAGGCTCGTGTGGACGGCCGAGTGGTGCACGGGCTGCATTCAGTGGGTCGCTTGGCGCTGCCTTTTCCTCTTCGCTGCGCGAGAGCGAGAGAGCGCTGCGGGTGCCTGCGACGGACGCTCCGCTCGGCACGCGCCTCAAAAAAGGGCTGCAACGCGCGTGCAACCACGGCGAGGCCCGCCTTGTATGTGATAACTCGCACCCTAACAACTCCGATATTTAGAAATTCGACTTTTTGGATGCACGTCCGAGGTGGCCCCTCCGCTGGCATGAAAGCACGAATTGCACTTTCTGCCTCGCCTCGCCCCACGATTGGGCGGCTGGCGGATGGTCGGGCAGTTCGTTTGGTGGTTCGAAATAGCTCCTCATGCACGCACGCGGCTGGGCTGGGCTCGACTGGCTGGACTGGAGCTGGAGCTCTCTACAAGCCTCTGACGCAGTGCCCACTCCCCGTTTCGCAGCGCACACTCTCTCTCTCTCTGTCTCTCTTTTGATGCCCTGATTTTAAGGGTAGCGTCGTCACACCGGCTGTCGGCGTCGTGGGAGCCCAATCTGACGATGCAGATCGGGTTCAAACCTGATGGGATCTCACCGCACCGCACCGCACCGCACCGCACCG